GTACAGTGTTATAGTTGTAATACAGGTGTTATAGTAACAGTACAGGTAGTTCAGTCCACTTAGAGATGAAGTACTGTGGCAGACAACGTGGTAAATCTCATCCTTACCTGGCACAACGTGTTGTAAAAAGATAAAAAGATTCAGGCAGCTAAGAATAGCAAAGATGCAGTGACCAAGGTGATCCTTGATGGAAGGAAATGCTCGGCTGACTTCTACAGATTACAGCTCTAATGGGCTAAACAGCAGGAGTCCTTTCCACAGGAAGAAGCCCATTATCCTCATCTAGTGTCCACAGCGTCCATCCTCATCACCCTGTCCTTGGACTCCTTCTCCACTTATGTAATAACCAGCTAAAAAATTATGAAGCAAGTCTTCTACATATACAGGTATAGCCAAAAACTTAAATGATTTCCCTCTGCATTTTTGTCAACAAATATTAAGTTTTGTTATTTTAAGATAATGGTTGAAGTAGCACACTGCAAGGACTTTTGATGATAGGACAGAAACAAGTATTAAAAGGAGGAACTACCGGTAACTGATTTTAGTTCCACTGATGGATTTTGACAACCACGTTTTCTCTGCTATATTTGACAGCATACAAAATATTAGTTGTACTCATTTTTGCCAAAGCTGAAAACTGAAAGTGATCATTATAAAACAAACAAAAAAAAATTATATTATCTTCAAAACAGCACCAAGCCCTAGAGCTTTCTTTCTTTATGACTGAAACCTTTAAAAACCCTCCGGGTTAGGGGTCAACAGATAGGCCGCAGTCCAGTTCTGGTCCAAAAAAAGTCTCATCTGGACACATCTGTTTATTTTCAGTAAAATTAATATTTTTAATTACATACATTACTGTATAGTAATTTTGCTCTGTTTCCCACTCCTGGCACTGTTGTCAAATATACAATAACACAATATAATAATTGTTGTATTTATACCATGGTTTTAGGGTCTATAAGACAAACAATAACTATATTTTAAAACACCCAATTATATGATGTCTGGCATTACTGTGCATCCAAAACAACCTTCTTCTTTTTTTTCACATGAACACCCACATATCATCAGAAAGTCTGATCCGACCAGCTGAATTATGTGCTCATCGGGCACAGCAATCCGTTTGGAGGTTTTATTTCAGCTCAGGTTTTTTACTTCCACCGGAGCCCCACATTTCACTTGGCCGATACACAAATCCATGAAAGTGGGTTAAACTCTCTGAGGCCAGCGTTACTGGACTGAAGCAGCCAAAAGGCAGGCGTCTCACACTCTTACATGAAACAGCATTCCTGGGAATGAGGGGTGAAAATAAAGGTTCACAGCTCAGTGGAGCCACAGAAAAACAGCTCGGAAACAGAAGTTTGTATTTGGTGCTGAATGTTTTTTACATGACTCAAGATAACTCAAAATAACTCATGATTACCGTATCTTGAACCAGAGGAAGGAAACTTAAGTATTTCTATGAAAAAAGAAAAGATTTGTCTCATCTTCTCTAACTCACTGTGTGCACAGGCAGAGTTCTAAATCTGCCTGAAAGGAAAATCTGCGCCGAGTTCTAGTTCATAATAATTTTTTATGATTGTTTTTTCCCCCTCTCCTCAGACCTGTTGTGCTAGACCCCACTGTGTCTGTGGCCAATGGGAGCGGGTCGGCATCTGCACAACTGTGGATTGAAATAAACACGACGGGTAAAGCCATAAAAGCGCTGTTTGTTCCCTTTGTTCCATCAGGATGAGGGCTGAAACAAAGCGTGTTTTTATCTACGCCAAAGGTGCGATGATACATGACTAACGCAAGAGGCAAATGGTTTTAAGACTCCCATCTGCCAGCTCAGCTCCAGATCAGCCCGGTTCAGCTGGAAGAAAAATCAATCGCAGGGAAATCTGAAAATAGTTTTTATCTACTGGATAGTTTTTTGATTGAAATGGATTAAAGCTATTTGTAGAAAACTACAGAAAACATACGTTTGTTAGAAGAAGGTGAACACCTGTAGGGATTTGAACGAGGCTGTGCAAAGGTCTTGTTATGACTGACTGACTGGTTGGATGGTGGGAATGTTTGTGCACTTTGGGTGACCTTCTTTAATTCATTACATGGAGACATTTAATTCCCACACCACCACCTGTGAGATTTCTTTTGTTTAAACTTTATGAGTACTTTTTGTGTCTATTTCCAACAGCTTTGGTTTGAGTTAGCCTGCCTCCCACAGTCTCCTTCCTCTCATCGTTTAATGTCTGTTGTTGAAGTTCATTAAAGGCAAATTTGAGAATATCTGCTGCAACTGAATAAGATTCATGCTTTCGTACATGTCAAATTATGATATTATGGCACCACAATGCATTTACGTTCATGACATAATGACATCACATTGAGTTGCATTTGCATACTGATGCATAAACGGGAATAAAGCAAGTAACAAGCAAAGTTGGTTTCTGTCAAAAGCACCTTTGGAGGAAACTAAAGAACCTGCTGATGGACACAAGCAGTGATGGAGACTGTTTAGCTGAAGGAGGAGGCCATCAGGACTCAGCTGTCCCAGAGGATGCCTGAAGCAGCTGACTGCGGCTTTGGTGGTAGTGGATCCAAAACTCTGGTACAGGAGAAATTTGAGAAGTCCATGAAGAAGGACTTTTGATCGGCCTCAAAGACGTTCTGGCAAACTGTTTTTCTCAGAAAAGAAAAGTGAGCCCTGTCCCAGGCTGTGTTTGGTATAGGTGGGGAGCTGCTGACCCAGACTGAGGATTTTGTTGAGAGGTGGAAGGAACACTATGATGATCTCCTTAATCTACCAACCATGCCCTCCTTTGAGGAGGCAAAGTCTGAGGACTTGGAGGAAAATGAGTCCATTAACATGGCAGAGGTCACCGAGGTCGTTTAAAAAACTCCTCTGTGCAAGGGTGCCAGGGGTGGATGAGATTCACCTCAAGATGCTAAAGGCTCAGGATGTTGCGGGATTGTCATAGTTGACATGTCTTTCCTCAATGTCACATGAAGGACTAACACCTGTGGAGTGGCAGACCAGGGTGGTGGTTCCCATTTTTAGAAAGGAGGACTGGAAAGTATCTGTTGTGGGATCATACTTCTCAGCCACCACAGGAAAGTTTACGCCAGCAGAGTTGTTAAGGGGGTCACGGGAGTTTGACTGCTCAGTCTAAATGTGTTTAGTGAATCTGGAGAACGCTTATGAACATTGTTGTTACAATGTGTTACTGTGGAGTGGAAAGTTGCTGTTATTGCAGTGTAAAGTTGCTGTTATTGCAGTGTAAAGTTGCTGTTATTGCAGTGCAAAGTTGTTGTTATTGTAGTGTGAAGTTGCTCTTATTACAGTGTAAAGTTGCTGGTATTGCAGTGTAAAGTTGCTTTTATTGCAGTGTAAAGTTGCTGTTATTGCAGTGTAAAGTTGATGTTACCAGATTGTAACGTTGTTGTTATGGTAGTGTAAAGTTGGTGGTATTGCAGTGTAAAGTTGCTGTTATTGCAGTGTAAAGTTGCTGTTATTGCAGTGTAAAGTTGATGTTACCAGATTGTAACGTTGTTGTTATGGTAGTGTAAAGTTGTTGTTATTGCAGTGTAAAGTTGCTGTTATTGTAGTGTAAAGTTGCTGTTATTGCAGTGTAAAGTTGATGTTACTGTAGTGTAAAGTTGCTGTTATTGCA